TATTATATATATATTGTGTGTGTGTGTTGTGTGTGTATATATATATATATATATATATATATATATATATATATATATATATATATATATATATATATAAAAACAGCTATTACATATATATTAAAAACCTTCTCCAACAGAATCAGGTGGTCCAATCTTTCTGCCACCCATTTGAGCGCTTGTCCAACCACGTTCCAATGGTGACAATTTGATCCGTTTTGGTTTAATCTGATACTTTTGCTGTAGTTTTGCAAATTTTTCCTCTCTTTTAAGATCTAAAGGTAACTTTTGCTGTTGAACAAGCTCTTTTCCTCTAAATACAGGAGTATTAAGACCAGGAAATTGTATTGGAATTTTTCCTACACCAATAATTTGACCTCTATTTAAATCCCTTTTTCTTGCTAATCCCTTCGCTCTACCTCTACGTCTTCCTGCATTACTAACAGTCGTCACAGCTTTCCATAGTTCATCTGCAGATTCTGAAGAATGCGATAAAATACCAATTATTTTTTACGAGTTTATTCAAAATTTTATACTAAAATTTCACTTACTGTTTACAAAAAATGTCGAATTTTTCGTATTACATATCAGAGGAATATGTGTTTTCAACAAATGTAAGTGACTGACAGTACACACATTACGCGCATCTGAAAGAAATATTATAACCTCCTTAACATACATTCACAAATAAATCATACTAAAAATTAACCTGAATTAAATATTTGTGCAAATCATATGATACTCTGTATAGAAATGATGTTTTGTTTGCGTGTCCGTACCATTGCTTACAGAAGGAATAGTCCTTGTCAATTTTTGCAAAATTTTCGAAATATGTAATATTCGAGTCGAGGCCATTTTTAATTCGCTTGATAGAATAAATGATAACGAGAAAGTTAAAAGACAGAACCCCAGTCTCGAGGTTACTGAATTGTATCTTCTGTCTTTCGTATTGCTTATGCGAAAAAAATTAGTGTCATCAGCAATCCATATTTTAAAGATGTATTATCGGGACAACTCGTTATTCGTCACTCCTCTCTGAATATCCGTTCACAATCAATAGCCAGAAAAAATTATCCAAACAAACTCGTATAGATTACGTCTCGATACAGAAGTACCAGGGAGTCGATCATGTAACTTTTCCCCTAGGGCGGAAACGTGAAAAGTGAAAAGTTTCACGTGAACTTACGATCATGTACGATCATTACGATTTTGCGGGATCATGTAACTCTCTCAAACGTGAAAATGTGAAATTTTTCACGTGAATTTTTTCGTTATGTACCTTGGTGGCGGAAAGGCGAAAATCTAGGGAATTAATAAATATACTTCGGAATTAGAGAAGATTAGGGGTGCTTTCCATTTAGTGACACAAGTCGATACAAGTATCATTTTGTCCTTGTTAATTATTGAAAGTCAAGAAAGATAGAACAATACTTGTGTTACTAAATGGAACAGTCAACAGCCCTAGAGCTGCGTCGGATGTACGATTCGAAGTGTACATATACAATCGATCATTGAAAGGTGTATATAATACTGTACCAATAAAATAATTTTCCTATAAAACCTATGAAACTATGATTTCATGATTTCACTTTCCACGCATTCAAGCTACATACATAATTGTTATACGTGAAAAGTTTCACGCAAAATGTCAATACGTGAAAAATGAAAAGTAAAAAGTGAAGAATGAAAAGTGAAAAATTTCACGTGAAATTACATGATTGACCCCCAGAATGAAGTCTTGGCTCAGGATTAGTGTCAGTCCACAATAAGTATTTAATTTTTAAACTGTAAGAAATTGACCAATCATAATCGATTATTCTTTTCATATCCGATTATAATTGATCAATTTCTAACTTCTTAAAGCTTAAATCACCTATTGTGGACCGACAGGGATACGGTCAAGAGCTTACTACAAATGCTTTGAAGCATTTTTTGTGGATTGGTGCTTAGTAAAATTCTTTGTTTTGATTAGCAATCAAACGCATCGAAGATTTATATTGACCGAGCCTAGGTAAAAGGAGAGCTGCATACACTCATAATGAAATAGAAGATTCTGATTGGTTCTTTTTTTATGCGTTATTCATTATGTATTATGCAGCAGCCTGTGTTTCGGCTATAAATTTTATGGCTATGTTCCTAAATTCACTACCAGTATTGAAAATCTATAAAATACATTACGTAGACTATATGTTTTCAGTACTGCCATAGACATAGTATAGATAGACCAAGCATGCTATATATCAGGCAATGGGCGACATGTGCGAGTGAGAAGAAACATCTGATTTTCTCTCTCTTTCTCTCTCTCTCTCTCTAATAGAAGAAGATGAGGGAAACATTAAGTGGGGACTGTGTGTATGATCCCTATCAGAGATAAGAAAAGAGAAAGAAAAAAATCAGGTGTTGTTTTTTCTCATTCGCACATGTCGCCCATCGCCTAGTATATAGCATGCTCGGTCTATGATACTGGCGGTGAATTTACGAACATAACCTATATATTTATTACTATCAACATTATCCCCTGTTTTTTTATAGAAATGTCGTGTATTAGACCTATATATATTTGTTAGCTTATATATTTGTTACTACCAACATTATCCCTTCTTTTTTTATTGTCATGTATCTGACTATAAATACCGACCATATTGCTCAATTGGCGGAAATAGTCACTGCAATTGGTCAATTTTTTCTCTGTCCGAGATTTCGGATCGATTTCTAGCATCGTAGAGTGCAGTCCACTTGATACTACAAATGCTTCGAAGCATTTTTTGATTGGCCCTTAGTATAGGGATTCTAGTTTCTGTTAAATCAAGCATGTTTTCCGCACGTGTGCGAATGATTCTCAAAGACTGTAGATAACCTTGTTCGTTTTGTCTTATCCGATAATGTTGATCTTTAGCCATCGAGTGAGTGGGACGTCTTTTGTCCTCACATGAATTTTTGTGTTGCGTCATGCAATTTGTTAAGGATAAAGAGAAAGCTAAACGTGGATAAAGAGAAAGTTGAACTAGAATATCACAGAATATAGAGAAACTTATAAAGGATTTAGATAAACCTGTGTTATATAACCCTAGGGTTGAAGACACATAGTCGGAATTAATCCGACATCCTCCAACCGGAGGAAAAGAGAAGAAAAAAAAAAAGTCTTATCCGATAATAAAGATTTAGAAATTTGTGTCATACAGTTTGAAAGAACAGAAGGCACGGTAAAAGTTATTAACGGAAACGAACAGGAAGAAAAGAAAAAACATCTGATCCTTGATATTTGACTTGGAAAAATCGTTGAAATATGGAACATTGGTAGTTTTCGCAAGTTTGGAAAATTGAAATAGGAAAAGGAAGAAAAAGAAAAAAGAAAGCTAAAATAAAGGATTACATTCACGATTCGCGACTTACGATTTACGATTTACGATTTACGATTTACGATTTACGAAGAAAATGGGCAAGCTAGCACCTCGTTTGGGAAGTAGAAAGAAGGCGAAGCGATGGGCAAAGGGTCAAAGTTCCAGTTCCAATCCGATGACAACCAAGCATCGTGAGCAAGCCACTGGCATGTTTTTTAAGGATTTTTCAAGCACGCCAGGTGGTATTACAAAGGAGGACTTACAGAGACACGATGCCATCCAAGGTATCGAACCGCATTTCGCCAAACTCGACATAGATGAGGATCAGCTTAAGAGCACCATAGACGGGACGGTGAATACATACGAGACGTTTGCTACCAATTATAGCAATTGCTCTAATATTTCTTTTGGCAGATTCCTCAGTCACTTTCAATCGAATTCGATCGTACATAAAGAGATGTTGGCAGTGCTGGCGGCTGTCACAGAGATCATCAAGCAGAACGGTGGCAATGAAAGCTCGACTGAATATTTTGCTGCATTAATGAGTACTTTGGAGGCGGTGGAAGAAGATACATCCGTGGCTGCTACGCTGTCTCTGTTAGGAATGTGTCTGAGAACGGTACCCAGAAACGTATTGATTTTACAATTTGGAGCGACAAGTCAGACTCTCTTTCGGCTTCTATTAAAATACATCATCAGTGAGAACCATTTGATTTTGCGGCATTGTCTAGGCTGTCTCTCACTGTTATTTCAAGCGCAAGAGGATGCCGTTTGGGAGAATCCTTCGACGATGCAGGTACTGAATGCTATATTATCATGTATCACTCACGCCAAGCCTAAGGTACGCAAATCTGCCCAACGTGGGATATGTGTCATTCTCAAGAGCAGCGACACGATGAAGAGCGAGAAACCGTCAACTCATCATCCGGCTGCGGGACAAGTTGCGATGCATTGCATCGCCCAATTCGACGCCGCTTGTAAACCAGGATCATCTCTAGGGGTAACCACTATTTTGCATATTCTTACATTGCTGAAAGACATAATGTCACAATTGCCAAAGTCGCATGTAAAGACTATCTGCGAACGTATACTGAGTATCATGACGTTAAAGAACGCCGTGATAACATCGTGCTGTCTGCAAACGCTGCATGGATTATTTGTTACGAAGCCATCAGAGACAACATTGCCTTTCCAAATAAACGCGAATATCATTAAGGCACTTTATGATTATCAACCCTCTGCAAACGATACACAGCCAACGTTGGCATGGTTGACGGTCATGCAGGAGGCTCACTGCAACCTGGTATGCCTAGCAGGCCAAGCGTCGAGACAGTCGAGCTCGGCTTTCGACGTCTTTTCGACATTGGACTGTGTGTTACCAGAAATGTTCAACAGGTGCATCGAGCTCTGGCTTTCCGACAAAACGGAAGTCGTCGCTGGAGTATCGCACACCATTAAAACCATTCTTCAGGAATGCGTGGGTTCTCTTTGCGAGAACGAGGAGCGAGCGATCGGCAAGTACGAGTCGACCTTGAGGCGTATCATTGAGATAATGCACAAGACATTGAGTTATCAGTACCTTAGAGCTTGGCGCCACGTTCTTCATCTAACGGCTATCCTCTTCCAAGTGATTGGCAAGCTCAAACTCCAGGAACTCGCAGGCATCGTCAAGACTCTGGGAAATTTGCGAGATTTCCACGACTTTGCATACAACTGTGAGGCGGAGTACGCGATTGGAGCAGCGATTAGAGCTATGGGGCCGCAAACCGTCTTGAGCATTCTCCCCCTTCAAACCGACGATGGAAAAATGATAAATCTCAGACGGAGTTGGATGATACCGCTGCTAAAGGACTGTATAACGGGCGGCACTATTGCCTTCTTTAAGGATACTTTACTGCCAATCGCTCGGCGATGCGAGGAGATGACCAAGGGCTCTTTCGTAGACAGCAAGACGTACGAATGTTTGATAACACAACTCTGGTCCGTCTTACCGAGCATATGTAACAATGCTAGTGATGTGAAGGATAATTTCAAGCATCTTGCCAAGTTGTTGGGTATGGCTATTAGCGACCGAAAAGATCTGAGGCTATCGGCGATGGCAGCTCTGCGAAAACTGATCACCAAGGCAAGGCAGAATAACAACACCGACGACATCGTTGAACTCGCTCGCTTCGCTAAGAATTATCTGCCGATTCTGTTCAATCTGTATACAATCAAGCCGAGCGGCACGGATGAGGAGGGAGTGCGACTTGCCGCATTCGACACGATCAAGATTTACCTGATGATCACGAATATCGATTTGGCGAACGAGCTGTTTGATCGAGCGCTGAGCAAGCTCGCGGAGCCGAACGTGACGGACTTCTTCAAGGAAAGCGCCTATGATCTGACGAGAGCGCTGATCGGCTATACGGACATCGATAGATTGACCAAATACTATGATGATGCGTGCGTGCCATTTCTTAAAGACGATGCTAAGCAAAAGGAGCAAAAGAAAGCTTATCGCTTTCTCGAGGAGATATGTAATAACAAGACGGAGATTTGCGAGCAATTCTTGCTCGAGCATCGACGCCAGATTCAAAAGACGTTGATTTCATCAGCGACTAGCGTGATTAAAACGAGTAGAGGAGCGCGTCTGCGATGTTTGGTGCATCTCGTCCGAATACATCCGCAGCTCGAGGGGACCAAGTTCTTGGAAGCCATAGTGCCAGAAGCTGTGCTCTGCGTCAAAGACATCAACGAGAGATGTCGTGACGCGGCGTATCAATTACTCAACGTGATCGCCGAGAGGTTTCTAGATAATCCGGAGCGTCTCAAGGATTACGCCGACATGCTAATGATTGGCTTAGGCGGTGAGCAAGCATACGTTAGCGCCAGCCTTCTCGCTCTGGCGTCCATCACTTATCATCACAATGACTCTCTGGGCACTGAAATTGTCGGAGAGATCTTGGAACATGCCTGCACCATTCTGACGAGTCCCACGAGAGAGATAGTTGAGTCCGCCTTGTCCTATGTTAAGGTGTATATCACGGTGACACCGTCCGCCATGATAGCACCGGCATTGCCAAGGATAGTCGATGCTCTATCGCGGATGAGCGAAGATTGTAAGCGTCACTTTCGTCAAAAGGTGCGAGACATCTTCACCAAATTGATCAGGAAGTATGGCATAGGATTGATATCGAGTATGATACCGGCCTCGGACACGATTCTGCACAAGAGACTGAAGAACATTAATAAGGTGATGGACATGAAAAGAAAGAGACGGGAGCTCGAGCGAGCCAAGAGACTGGAGATGAGCAGCGACGAGGATTTTGATGCCAAGAGGAAACCCAAAAGCATAGAAGAAATATTGGCCGACAGCGATGAGGAATTTCAAGTTACGGAGAACGAAGAAGCAAAGAGGAATAAGAGGAAACCTTCAAGGAAGGACTTGGCTTGGATTCAAGAGAGTGAAGATAATATAGTCGATCTTGCAGATCCCGTAGCTGCTAAAAATATTACAAGTTGGTTTATAACGAATGTTCACATACCTGGGCCTTCCCATCTCTCACACTTATTTCGTTAATTCAACAATTTTTTATTGCTCTTTTTCTATCACAATTTTTCCTGCATACAATAATCAAGTTACATTTTAGCTAACAGCCGGGTCTTGTGGTCGTGTAAATAAATAATCAATTAATCTCGTCTTGTTTGTATGTCTTAGCAACGCAACCGGGTGTATCAAATCCAAAGATTCCAGAAAAGAAAGTGAAGGATTATGGCTTCAAGACTACACCTGATGGTCGTCTCATTATTAGGGACGATAATGATAAGGACAGCGATGCGGGAGAAGGGAATAAGAAGAAGAGAAAAGCTTCTTTCCTCCGGAGTGATTCAGAAGACGATTACGGTAAGACGATTACTTTATTCTGTATTCTGTAAACATACAAAAAGAGAACAATTTATGAAAACGCAAAAAAAATCATGTCACGAGATATATATTTCGTAGAAGACCAAGATGACGTATCAGTAGTAACGGCAAAAAGTATTGGCAATAAACGTAAACGCAACGAGAATATGTCAGACATGATGAGCTTAAAGAGTCAGTCCACGTCGAAATATCGAGGTAAATATAAATATGAATTCTTCTGCAAGATGTTTTTTGCACAAGGCTACTTCACTTCAATTTGGAAAAAAAAATTACCGGAATTACTTTACAGATAGAGCTGGGTTCAGAAATATTAAATGTATCATTTCATCCTTGTTGTTAAAACAAATGTTTATCAAATGTTAAATAAGGATAAAATACCTGGGTACATTTGGATATTATTTCTGAACGCACTCCAGCTTTATAAGACGAAGTTTATTTTTTATGTTTGATATGACGAATAAAAAATGTTGGACTTGCGATTAAATTTTTATTATCGACGATGTTACGATGATAACTGAACTAATGTATTGTTGTAATGATTATCGCAATAAATAACGAACAATTTATTTTTTATACTAAAATGTTACATTAGTTAAATATTTTACATCAATTTTTCTCTAATTTTAGTTGGCGGATCAGGTATTCATCGATTGTTAAAAGCGAGGAAAGTAGACTACGAACCTGGTTCGGAATATCGCGCGACAAAGGCACGAGGAGATATTAAGAGGAAGGGTAGACCAGATCCCTATGCATACGTACCTTTAACAAGATCCATGTTGAATAAAAGGTTAATAATACATGTTTTTCTTTTCCTTTAGATCTTTATTTGTTGTACTTCATATATTTTATATATACATATTTACACACACTCACACCGCGCGCGCGCGCGTGTGTATGTATGTATGTATTTCTAATTTATCAATATATTAATAAATTTAATATATTTGTGCTTTACAGAAAGAGGAAGAAAAATGCAGGTAAATTCCAGAGTATAGTCTCCGGAACGAGAAAAGGCGCTCGTATAGGTATGCGGAATAAACGAAAAAAAGGTTAAACAAATAACAGTTCTACTCATTGATCATGTTGTCTAATGACGCACACCGTATCATAAGTTTATCTGTAAAAATTCTATTCTCAAATATATTTATCTTTAATTAAATCATTGTCTGAATGAGTGTACACATATACATATACATATACATATATATATAGTTCGCTAAAAGTCGAATATCTCGTAAACTATGCAATTTTAAAAAAAAAGTTTCTGACATAAGTCGTAAAGTTTCGAGGTCACGTAATTACGTAATATTGATTCATCTACGGATGAGGTCACTGCCGAACATTTTTTTTATGATCATTATTTTTTTAATGGAGTATATTTTTTATATGCAATATGATTCTTCTTAGTTATTCTGGAAATATAAAAAGGTATAAATGTCAAAAAGTTAATAGTTTACAAGATGCCTTAGACTTCATTCTGATAAACGTAAGAAATATCTCGTAAATTAACAATTTTTTTTATAACCGTATTTTAATACTTTAATGTACAGAATAACGAGACAAATCGATTGTCTTAAAAAAAATATGTACTTGCATTTTGCTAATTGCATATTTTTTTTAAAGCAACTATGTACCTCCTTTACGTTAATCGATTTGTTTTATCATTTTATGCATAAAAATAGGTACTGCTATCAAAAAATTAATAATATGCGAGATATTTTATATCGGAATATGCCAAAATAAAATATCTTGTAAATTATTTGTACCTTAATATTCCTATATTTAGAATAACTAAAGGAATCTTATCACATGATAAAAAATTATCCCATTAAATTATCCCATTAAAAAAATGACAGTCATAAAAAAACCTATAACCCTATTTATAAATGAATTAATATCATAATCATATGGCCTCCTCGAAACTTATAACTTTTGTCTGAAATTTTTTTTTTCAAAATTGCATTATTTATGAGGTATTCGACTATATCCAGATTTTTTTACGCATCCTATATATTTAGATCTTTCATCCATCCACAATGATTTATTAATTCAAAGATAATATGTGACCGTACCAAAATTAACACAACTTTATTCACAATCTTTAATTACCGTTTTCAATGCTTCAATTATACATAAAGGGCATAGAATTTCCGGCTTGGATGCATGGGATAATACATTTCCTAAATATTGCGATGTACACGGAAGTATTAATGATTGGGATGTCAATAATTCCGTTTCCATTGCTGGAATAACATCCGCTTTATATAGGGAGATTGGAAAGTAATGTCCACAAGTAAATATCATATTATCTTCTTCCATCGTAAGTAAGTGATTTACAGTTTCCGAATCCTATTATAATATTAATATTAACAAGAATTAATAACGTTAAATACAACGCTAATTTAATGTGACTGAATATAATAAAAACCAATTGAAATGTCTCATAGATCCAACATCTTGATTAATATAATATTATATACCTTAATGTGTGCAAATAATCTAGAATCTTCCATTTGAGAAATTATTGTATTAACAATTCCTTCCATCATTTGTTTGGGATTATTTCTTGAACTTGAACTTGGATGTCTATTTAAAGGAGCACCATAATTGTCCGCCATTAAAGAGGAGAAAATTTTAACATATTCCGGCATAGGATCGTCTGAAATATAACAATTATCCCTCTATTGTGTTATTTAATTCCATTACACTTTAAAAGTATCTTGAAAGATAAAACATCAATATAACAACCTTCATCTATATGTTGCATTAATATCGATAGTACTTGAAGGCAGAATTTGAATGAGAATAAGTTGTTCGCGCACCAGTCCGTTCCTTCATCATCATACTTGTTTACATTTAAATATTTTTCTATCATGTCTCGACTGTAAAATGATAATAATATAAAGTAATGTTTTTCATATCAGTCTCATTTTACTTCAATTTTGATTTGCTTTTGATGCGAAGAAAATTGCTTATACTTGTACAGTTTCAGAGAATATAATTTCAATATGGCACAGATACCGTAACATAGATTCTCTTTTACTTTCTTATTTTCTTATTTTCTTATAATTCGATGCTTAATAACAATGATTTATCAAAGATCTAAAGCCCCCCCAAATTGTACTTTCAAGTTTTAGAAACTCTGCATTAAGTATATTAAGTACATTACATTAAAAATTACATTAAAAAGAGCATAGCTGTCGTGAAAAACGCAAACAACTGTTGTGATAAAAAAAAGCACAATCTGCTTTTATTGCCGTAATATCGACTTACCAAAAGAGTAATAATCCAAGAGGATAATAAATGATATGTATATGTTCGAAAAAAATATTTTCCAAACTTTGCATCGGTAAATTGTGTTCAATCCAAAAATCAATTGCATGATACAATATTTCACATTTTATGGTATTTGCTTCACCATTAATATTTTTTAAATAAAACTTTAAAGCTTTTATAGTTTCGTTGATTACATAATTCCTTTGAGCACGTGAAGACACCTGGTCTGAAAACATAGTCTTCTTTTCATACGTATCGCCCTGATTCGTTTGATTGTCATTGATATTCGATATTATTTTCGTGCAGATTGATCGAGTTAAATCTTGCGCAGAACGACAAGTAATGTTTTTGTGCTGCAGCAGCGAATCGTTTTCATTAAGCATAAGATTTTCAATCCATACTTGTTGTTCATCTTCGTTAGCATTATATTCAGTGTCAGAGCGGTTGTTAATGTTCGACAAGGAATCGTCGTTTCTTTGAGTTTTGCATAATTCTTCCAAGCCACCTTGACAGTCGAAAGAGTATAATTCTTGTGCGAGCATTTGCAAATTATTCAGTGATCTACTCGTAGAAATCTTCGTCCAGTTCCGTACAACACTGTTCTCTAAAGATTCAATAAAATTCTTCTCCGCTTGCCTATTAAATAGTTCAGTATTTTTCTTAATATTTCGGGCTGACATAGAATCCGTCGTCATCTCTGCCTTTTGTGAACTAATCTTAATTGTGGACGCTATTGTTTTATGCGGAATTTTCGATATTGGATAATTTCTAGACGATTGAAGACTCAATTTATGTAACACTTTCAATTGATAAGTGAAAGCACTTAGAATGTTATTCTCTAATATTGCTATTTTCGAACAAGCTTGATAATTCTCTAATTCGACGCACTGTAATGGAAAAGATTCACCTTATATATATAAAGAGGTCTTGTTGGTAACAGTATTGTTATATATTATATTTTACTTCAAGTTAAAATTACATTTTACATATATTGAGAGATTGAGAGATAATACTATATTTTATATATTATATTTACTATATTTTATATTTACTATATTTTATATATATATATATATATATATAT